TCAAAATGTACTGAGAGGAAGGAGAAGGGGAAAAGGATCGGCGTGGCAGGGATGGCCATGACGGGCGGGCGTACTTATGTGTTCGGAACGCACATGCGGATACGTGCCATCAGTCGCCAGAGAAAAGTCAGCCGCTAGACCAGATTTGTTGAACATGACCCTATGCGGATGCTGGTATAGTGTCTGGGCGGGGGCGTCGAGTGGATTTTTAGCTGGGGAGTTCTCAGACTGCAGCGTTCTCTCATCGCCAATGCAGATAACCAGATGGGGATCAGCGACGCGCGACGCGACGAGTGGATCTAGATTCCCGGCCGCCCCGAGAACGCGGGCGTCGACGTTTGATGACTTCTTAATGGAGCCCCGATACTCCGCCTTCACCTCCGCCGCCGTCTCCGCTGCCGCAGCAAAACGTGTCCGGCGTCCTCTCGGCGTGCAAATCCTCCGGCCTCCGGCGGGCTTGGCCTCTTCCCGCGACCATGCCGGTCGGGGATGGCGAAAGATACCGCGTGCATCGACACGCGTGCATGTAGAACAAGCTTAAACTCGTCTCACCTTTGCCCACACCCTCCCCCTAGCCATCCCAGATCCTGCTAAAGTTTCTTAGTCAGGTATTCTCGCTACAGGCAGGAACGTCATCGGGGGACTATTCTGACACGTGCTTGCATGCAATACATTTCCTCTTTCGCGCCAGAACTGCATCAGTCAGATGACAACATGGTCTAGTCCCGGCTCCAGACCTTCTTCAAGTCTCTCTGCGGCGCTCAGCAGTCGAGAGCGGAGGCGTAACGCGAGAAGCAATAGAATTTACGCGTCTCGGATTTGGACGTTCCCACGCAGAATGGTTAGCGCCGACGAGAGAGTCAGACGCCAGAAGGGGTGGGAAAGAGACTAGTCCTCGTCCAGTATCAGTCCACCGGAGCGGACTCCGGCCCAACGGAATATGAGAGCTGTCGTGCAGACCTGTAATAGGTAAAGCGTTCTATTCTCCGGGCAGACCATGATACTACCTAGACGGGAATACTGTACAGGGAATATCCCACACGTCTCCCAAGCCCCGCATTAAGCGCCCTGCCTGTAGTGTCTCCCCGCCATGTGTATTACTAACAGGGCACACCTCTTTCTCCTTCAGGAATTGGTACGCGCAAGGGGCATCACTTTGTTCCATATGCAGCAAAGCATGCTTTGCGACAGTTGATCCTTGTGGGTTACTCTGATCTCCCGGGAACCCATCCTGCCTCGTGCATCCTCGTGCCCTCCCTCCAGAATTTCTATCTGCCTCCATGACTGCAGTGTGCACCTCCACGTTCATGTCCCAGCTGCGCAAATGCGTGCTAGCGTCAGCGCCGTGTCGTGGCTGACCTGCCATGGGCGCAGCGCCGCCGGCGCAAGATCAGGTCCAGTACGCAACAGTCAAATCATTGATGCATCACGAACACTTCGGAGTCGGAATATCGTCGTTCATTTACTCTTAGATTGCTCATCTCGGTCCGACTCAGCGGACTCGCGATGCAGGCGCTCGGACATAATCCTCCTTCTCCCGCGCCAATCCCCACTGCGGCTCCAAGAGCGAGAACATTACTGTACAGTATTATGACCCACTGGGAACGACGTGAAGGACAAATAAAGGGAGTCAGTCAATGGTCTCGTGTCCATACGTGCTGACGATACAGCCGCACCCCACTACCGTCCGCCTTCGTCAGGACGGGTGGAGGGGTGCAGCTGCATCGTCAGCACGTCTGGGCACGAGACCACGGTTAACCAGAGATCTCACAGGTCATTGCATTACAGACGTCTAGCCGATCGCTGCAGCGTCTCCTTTCTATCACGGCTGCTTGCATTGACAAACAAACGATTGATGTATTAGATTGCAATACATACAGCGCTTTGAAGGCTATCTGCGTATGAGATAGCGACCGGTTTGCAGGACCCGCGGACCCTTGAAAAGATAACCGGTAACCAGCAGAAGATGCTGCGGCAAAGTGCCAGAACCGAGGCCTAACGTCCTCAAATGCTCACAGAGCGTCTTTGAATGAGAGCGCAATACGACGATCTCTATGCAACTGCTCAACACTATGTATTGAGACAACTAGCTGTGATTCATCCTCATCAAGTACTTGTGGGTGTGGTGGTCGCAGTGAATGGTTGCACTGTGCTCGTGCGCCAACTTTGCCTTCTCATTCATCGCCTTCGGAGAGGCCTATCTAGTCGACAATGCCGCATATGCGTGATGCAGCATACCACACCGCGGACGTTCCTCATCTTGGTGACATATCCAAAGCATGGTGAGCACTTCGATATGTCACGGACGGTCGCGTTGCAATAGGAAATTAGCTATCTGAGGATACAAGCATTGTTATTGGTCCATTACAAAACGATACGTAAGTCCATACACAAAGACATTAGAACGAGGCGCTATGGTTCTTTGAAACGGAGAAGGACGATGAAGGAGAATGCGTCTAGCCACCAGAGATTACCGGAAGAGGAAGGCAGGTCAGGGCCTTGCATGGGCTGTTCGGTTTGCGGGATGTCCTCTCAGGGGCGTCCGGTGGACGAGTGCGCCCCCAGCGGTCTGATGGTTTGCCACGAGGACGGTGAACACTCTCCCGTCATCTACTTCGTCACTACCGACCTCATCTACGCGATAGTCAGCACCGAGCCGACCACTCCCATCGCGAACGCGACCCCGAGCCCGACAAGCGCGCCGGGGCTGCCGCCGAGGAGGGCGACAGCAGCGTTCTTCGAGTTGCCAGAGGGGCTGCTGCCCGAGCCGTTCGAGCCCGATGAGCCGCTCGAGCCGCTGGCCGTCGCGGGCGCGCTCGGCGTGAACGTCGCGGACGGGCTCGAGAGGCAGGAGCTCGCGGCAGCGTTCGCGCCCGAGACAGAGGCTGGCGCGGCGCTGTTGACGGTCGCGTTCCCGCCAAAGTCGCATGAAGTCGCGGCGCGACTCGTGAGCTCGTAGTATTCGCTCATTACAAACGAAAGCTTGACGTCTGCGTGCCCCAAAGAGGGGGTTGAACAGAGATGGTGGTTAGCTTACGACGGATGCAAACGAGGGCCAAGGCGGAATGACAGTAAGGGGTCAAGGGATAGGGGACGTACCGGGATCGCAGAACGCGACGCGGCCGTAGGTGCCAGTCGTGCCGTTGGCGGAGATGTCGTTGCAGTTGCCGCCGTTCTGGCCGAGGAGCGAGCAGCCGAGGTCAAGGAGGGGTCCGACGATGGAGGACGTGTTCGAAGTCTTCGGCGTGAATTGGCAGCTGAGGATCCCCTCAAGACAGTTGCACGCCGCGTCATTGGGCGTCGGCGGGAGAGTGTTCGATGCGAGCCACGTCGAGTTCTGGGACGGGCACGACGGGTACTGCGTCTGACCCGCGCTGCTCTGGCTTGGCGTCGTCGGAAACGTGACGTTGTTGTACTGCGCCTTGAGCCGGTTGAAGTCATCGTTCGGCGTGACGGTGTTGCCATCGATCGTGACCATGCCGAACTGCCCGTCGTTGCTCTGAGCTGGGAAGTAGCTGAACGCAATGCCGCCAGACCAGATGTCGGACATGGGCGGGCTGAAGATGACCGGCACCTCCGTCCACAGGCGTGGCGGCTGACTCACGCAGCCGAATTCGCTAAAGTACGCGGGAATGTTGTAGCCCGCGAAGTCGCCGTTCTTCGTGTTGTACACAGAGGGGCTCGCGGCGCCGCAGTACTCGCTACAGGACGCAAGGCGGCACGGAAATGGATCAGAGACACCTGCATGTCTGTACTGCGCAGCGGACGTACTAGTTGTTCAGGCCAAAGAGGTCAATGGCGGTAGACCCCGAATTAGAGCCCGTGGGATCGCAGCTGAGGTAATTGGCGAGGGGGAGCACCCAGCTGTCATCGCCGTCAATGGCGGCATACCCAACCAGCGCAGAGGACGAGATCGAGTTGCTGCAGTTAGTCAAGGGCAAAGGCGGTTAGCGTGAGCGGTGATGAGAACATCAGACCGCGGGTACTGACAGGTATGCTCGGACATCGCGAGCGGCAGCCTTGATGAACGGCGCCGCACCAGTGCCAGCAGGGTTGACGATGACCTCATTGCCAACGTTGTATGCTAGAACGTTGTCGTACTTGCTGAAGACGCTGATGGTCTCAAGGTACAAGTCGAGGAGATTCGTCGTCCAGGAGGGGTTATTTCGGTCAATGGAACCATTCACCGGTAGGGCAAGGTCAATGCTAGGGAGGAAGGGTGAGCTCGAACACCACAGCACATGGTTTACTGCGACGTACATGGTATAGATATTTGCTTGGCTCAAAGCGTTCATGCAGTCGTCATGGTTGAGAGACGAGTTGACGCTGTAAACACGGATGGTGTTGACATCGAGCTGCTGGAGGAAGGGGAGGTCGCGCGCACACGCTGTGCCATTTGCCAGAGGGTCGATGAATGTCGACGGCTCCGAGAACGGATTGTTAGGATCGGTGGAGAGGGCACCTGCAGGCCAATGTGATTGTGTTGAGCGCCTCAGAAAGTTGCTTCCATAACCACAGCCTGCAGACTGGCGCACCTTGCTCCTGGTAGGCGATTCCCTTTATGAAGAACCGGTTCCCGTCGGCGGTGTAGAGATACCTGCCTACTCGGGAGACCTTTTGGATGGCACCGACCCCGGCAGCGAGGGCTAAGACCCCAGCCGTGAGGGCTGCCGCCCGAGAGATGGATCTGTGCATGGTATCTTGCTAGAGGCGTCGAGGAGGCAGGGATTCTTAGAGAGGAAGACAGGGAGGCAGAAGGGTGGAAAGAAAGGAGGGTGAGAGGGGTGGACCGGCCTTTGGATGGGGGTGTTGAGAGATGGAGTGGGCTAGAAACAAGCAGACAAGAGTGGGCAGCCCGCAGCAGCCGCTCAGAACTGCGGCTCAGTGCCTTTCACGGGGAGCGTTCTCCGTGCCCGGTGAGTCTCACGCCTCTGCATCCGCCCTCAAGCATGGAGCGCGTCTGACGCAACAACAGGTGTACTAAGCTACCCTTTCCAAAGGTCCGCCTAGCTCAATCGGATAGAGCGTCAGACTCTTACCAACGGCGGGTTATCTGAAGGCTGCGAGTTCGACCCTCGCGGTGGGCTAATTGTTTTTTCAACTTGCCTTGTCGAAAGTGTACTGGTTCGTGCAGCATTTGCGGCCAACTCGGGATACAGTCCCGGACTTATGTTCTCCTTCTCGAGATTTGAAGTTGCACTGGACTTAATCTATTCATTGCATACATATGTATAACGTGCGTTACATAACCAAGTCGTAGCAGAAAAAGCGTCCGTGTAGCAGGCGGTGTCAGCCTCGGCCGTGCGAGGTCTTGGGTCACGAGTGAAGATTACAAGTAAGAACGTCCAGCATCAAGGCGCACTTCAACCGCGGTAGGTGCAGCAACTGCGGTATCATTAGCTGAAGAGCTTCGTCCGAGCGCACAACACAACCTACCTGATCATGTAAGGCAATATTGATACAAGCAGGCATGCCCAAGCAGCCCACAGAAGGAAGAGCGCATCGCCGGTCGAGACGGTAATGCCCAGTGGAAAGGACTTCGACACGTCGCCTACGGCCGACGGGTTGCCTACGACAAAGTCGTTGACAGATTGCGCCTTCTTGATCATGACTGTCCAGATCGTCGCACCGATGAGCAGGGCGAGCGACCCTATGACAGCGAACGTCGTAGACAAGAAGAAAAGCACCGTGTGCTTCAGCAAGCCACTGCATACGATGTTTGTCAGTTAATGCACCATGAGTGCGGTGGGAAACACCAACGTGAATAAGGCCAGTGCAGCGCATACGGAGCCAATGATGATGAGATAGTAAGCGCCGTTGGTGAAGTTGCCCAAGTAGGAGGAGTCAATGAAGGCTCCCTCTGTGACCAGGGCCACTGTAAAAGCCGTGTAGTTTGCAATCATGTCGGAGGTAATGGCCGTGAAGGGTTGGAACCGGTTAGCAGCGGTGCTATTCGAGCAAACGCCGGTCCCGTTCACATAACCGCAATAGGAGTAGAGACCAAATTTGTAAAGGTCGCGGAGACCTTGCTGCTCCGCCAGAGGTGCGGTAGCATTGTCCGCATAGAGCCCAGTGATGGGGTCACCGAGAGCGACGGCGAGGGCTTGCCTGTGTCTTCGTCAGCACGGCAATGAAAGATAGAGTTCGCAGGCACACGCACCCATAGGCAGACGCATTCACATTGACCTGCGCGACTCATTGCATCAGCCTAATGCGTTCCGGTCGAACGTACGGTCCCGATTCACCATGGATATGCCTCGAGGAACTGTCGAGGTGTTGATTTGCCCGACCTGGGATGTCGGTGATCTCTCAGCAAGAGATAACAGCTATCGCGAAGTCGAGGAATGACACACATGCATGAATATGAGCAGTAACAATGCTACCAGACTGATGCCATGCGTCCAGGAAAGTTCAGCGGGCGCTCGCAGCACGTTGCAAGATCAAACTAAGACGCACGAGAGGACGGACGCGCTGCCGATACATACCTCGCCGCGCATGGTATCTTGAGAACAAAGCCAGGGGTAACAATGAGGAGGAAGAGGAGAAAGGGTATCCGGAAAGCTGCGGAGAGCGAGTGAAGGTGCCGTGCAGTCAAGCGCGAGAGCCTCGAGGATTCCTGACGGACGCGACTCGATCGTTCGTGTCCCAAGTCACCTGACTCCTAGTCACCTGCCTGATGGGGCGTTCCCACGGGGTCGCGTACCCTGCTCGCCTGTAATAGGTGAGTCTCGCGCTCTCGTAGCAGGAGCTCGCGCGTCCCCTCCGCAATCGCACCGTTCTCCCACACAAGCTATGGCCCGCCCCGGCCTGGTCGTTTGAGCACGCTGTGTGTCTTGTACTTATCCACAACTTCAGCTTCTACGTATCAGCTCTTGCTCTGTATATCATGGCGCACAGCCCGCCTGCCGACTCTTCACCTCCGGGTTCAGGCAGCTCCCAAAGCGCAGCGGCTTCGCCTGTAACTGCATCTCACGAGTCCCCGCAGACACCAACGTCGTATAGAGGTCGAGTCGTGCAAGGGAGATTGGAGAAGACTCGGAACACCGCCTTGCTTTCGCAAAGCCAACCAGCCTTGCCTCAGCCAGGCCCAAGACGCATGTCCAGCCTCATGAGAGGCAAGGGCATGGAGAAGCAGCTCAATGACGGTATGCGAACCCTGCCCTCATAACGTCGTGCATAGCAGGCTGAATGCAGTCTTTACCGTCCAGACCGACCGACAGCTTCTCGGTCCCAAATGCTTCCCGCACACTCGCCGCCACTCACTGCACATGCAAGAGATCGTCGTGGACCTACAGCAGGTGGAGAAGGGGACTCGCCTTTCATTACCCCTAGTTCGCCTTCGTTGGTCCCGAGCCGTCCCGAGAAAGCTGTAGGCTTTGGGTTCCGATCGGTGCGTGGACCCCGGACGATCGACATGTGTTATTCGAACGGACTGACATAGGGCGGTAGATGCATGCTGGGACTCAGACGATCATCCAGGCGCTACAAGCAGTACCCTGGGCTGAGGACCAGGATATTGATGATGACTTCCTGAATCACGATGCAACGCCTCTGGGTACAGAGAGCGACGAAGAGGATAGTCATGGTCAGCACGAAAGGAGTCTTCTCTGGGCGAGGCTGATGGTGTGATACAGTCAACCGATTGACTTCGTCGATCCACGCCATTTACCGCCCGGTGGCGCGTTCCCGGCGAGGACAAGGCTCGAGTTTCCTCCATGGCTCTGCTAAGGGCCAGCCGCTGCCCACGGTGTCTGATTCGGAGGAGAGCGCAGCTTCCGATGAACACGCAGTATCTGAAGAAGATATGGAGGGTGACTTTGAGCCGGCTGAGACACCACAGCGCTTGCACCCCAGCCACACTGGTCGCATGTCTCCAGAACCCATCCCTGGCTTCGACACTACCCCGGACGTTCCAGAAGTCCACACAACAAGGGAAAGGACGACGAGCCGGTCGGGCAGCATGGCTACTGTGCGGCAAAACAGGCGCTCGCAATTGGCCGAGAAGCTGAGAGACGTATATGAGCTCAATGACATCAATGAGGTTGTAGCTGGTAAGTGCGAGTGACATGGCCTTATGTCACAGACGGTCAGTGCTCACCAGGCGCAAAGAGATGCCGTGTTGGCTTCTTCGCTCAGTGTGTAAGCTGTTCAGAATGTTCACTCTCTGCTACTTCTTTCTAATTCTGTGAATAGTGCTGCAGGGGTACATGTATCTGACAGATGCATATATCTGCTTTTTCGCACATTTGCCTGCGAGGGAGGTCTGTACATTCCTCGAACCTCGTGTTTTCGACGCTGACGACAATGCAGGACCAAGTTCTGAAGTCAGGATCGTTGCTCAAGAAGGCTCAGCGAACCAAGCGGTGGATACGCCATTGGTTTGTACTCAAGAACGATGTGTTGTCTTGGTACCAGTCGCCCTCGGTATGGGAGTCCTCGTAAAATCCTGTCGATGCCCTAACTTACAATCCCCTCGACAAAGGATCCATACTTTCCGCATGGAGTGGTCGACCTGCGCTATGCGATTAGCTGCGAGCCGGTCAATCAAAGGGACATCCGACTGCGGACGAACCAGAAGTCTATCAGACTTTCTGCGGACTCCGTGCCGAGCCGTGACGAGTGGGTCAAAGCGATCCGCAGGGTAATGTTAAAGACTGCCAACATGGGCGACAGCATCAAGGTCGGTCCTTCGATGGCTCCGTGGATAAGTAAGACGCACTGACAACGCCACAACGATAGATTGCCATTCCGTACCCTGCCGTTGTTGATGTGGAGAGATCCAACGCGATGGACTTCAGCGAGACCATCGAGATCAAGGTGCAGGACAAGAGCTCTGATCTTGCTCTCGACTCCTACTTCTTTGCGTACTTCAACGACTTGTCCACGGCGCTTGAGCGTATCCGAGACGCTGTGCGAACCTATCGTCCTGTACCGTCATTCCAACATGCTCCTACAGTGGTCGACACGACTTCCGCACGACCACCTGTGGTGAGTGCAAGAGAACGCATCGCAAGCGCTTCCTCTCTTGAGCATGGGGCCAAGTCTGCATCCAGCTTCAAGTTGACATCGCTCCTGCGGCCATTGCAACAAAGTCTGCCTGTAGTCCGTTCTCTCAGTTCGCCCGGCACCACGACATGTGAAGCCAACAATGAAGACTTCACGCACATCGTCAAGCGGGGCAGCTCATCCTTCGTCCCTATCACGACGCCCGCCGAGACAACCTCTCCCAGCGAAGGTGAGCCCCCAGGGCGGCCCGACCTTCTCCGCGCGTCTACCTCGAGTCTGACCCCGACCCCCACCATCGCTGACCACACCTATCCGCCTTCTATGTCTGGCTCGAGCGCAGACGTGCGTGGGCCGCTCGTTTCGTCTCCCACCACTGCATCCGCAAAGGACAATTATACGGCGAGTGGGTGGTCGGTCGGTATGCCCTCGATGCCGTCGTGGTTGCGGATGCCGTCTCGCGGCTTGTTTAGCACGCCCAGTTCTCCTGACGTGCGAACAGGCCTGGAGCGTGCGATGACTTTGCCGGTGGCGCATGCGTTGCCCGCGGTCAGCGAGGTGGTGTCCTCGCGTGCGTCGTCGGCGAGCCGTCCGACAACTAGCGCGAGCGGTAGTGGAGACTTTGGATTCTTCAGCATCCTGGAGACACCGGAGACGGCCATGGATGTGGAGACGGTCGAGAAGTTTCGCCAGGCGTTCGCGTTTGACGAGAAGGAGAATCTCCTCGGTAGTGAGTACCTACATTTGCTCAACCGTGGACAATGGCAACTCAAAGCTCATCCAGTGTTCCCCGGGTATTTGTATCGGTTGCTCCCTGTGTACGGCCGCCTATACGTCTCGAACAACTATTTCTGCTTCAAGTCGAGTGGTCCTCTGACCATGAGAACTAGGGTAACTCCTGGGCCTTCCGAGAATTGTTGACAAAGTGCTAATCTTCTTGCCTACGGTATAGATGATCCTCCCTCTCAAAGACGTTCTAGCAATCGAGAAGCAGAAGTCGTTCCATTTTGGGCGCCATGGTCTGGTTGTCATCGTCCGTGGCCACGAGGAACTGTTCTTCGAGTTCACCGACGAGGCGCGTCGT